CACAAAGCAGCGCTGAGCTCACAAATGCTGCTTTATCAGGCATATAACATGCAAGATGAAATGAAAATGACATCGAAACATTTCTAAATATAGTCTTCCTTCAGAAATACAGTGATATAAAAACACCCACGCCTCGTTTTGATTTTTAAAAGTGCAGTACGTGCTCATGTTTATTCAGTGAAGCCTTTTGGAAAATCCTTCAGTTTTGATATTGTGGCAAGCCACAAATAAATAAATGTATGGGAAACACATCCCACAGCACAACCACCTGAGCCCAACTTCAGTCTACTCATCACCTTAACTTTAACTGCGTTTGTAGCCGGCGCCATAGCCAGACTGATAAACAAACAGACCGGAAGTTAACTTCGGGCCAGGCGCGTGTGCCCGATGAAACAGTCTATATAAAGCTTGAAGCATCAGAATCAGCATCGGTATCGGCCGATCACCATGACAAGAAATCGGTACTCAGTATCAGCTGCAAAATCCTGATCGGAGCATCCCTAGTTATTACCCAGCACTACACATACATACATACATATATGTATGTATATATATACATACATACATATATGTATGTATTGAGAGGAATAAGACAGAATTCACCTCAAGAAGCTTTGGATTACCTCAGGAAAAAAACAATGCAGCGGCTTGATCCAGCAGTGATCATAAATGCCACTGCGTTTGTAGCCGGTGCCATAGCCAGACTGATAAACAAACAGACCGGAAGTTAACTTCGGGCCAGGTGCTTGCGCCCGATCAAACCGTCTATATAAAGCTTGAAGCATCAGAATCGGCATCGGTATCGGCCGATCACCATGACAAGAAATCGGTACTCAGTATCGGCTGCAAAAAACCTGATCGGAGCCTCCCTAGTTGTAACAACTAATATTTTAGCAGTGCATCATTAATTATTTGACTAAATTTTGAGCTTTTGAAAGACATGTTGCATGTTTTGTTTTTGGTTTGTTTTGATTTTGATTTTGTAGCACTATATAATATACAGCTCAAAGAAATTAAAAATATGCAGCTGTTTTGTGTCTGCTTTCACTATCTAGGGTTCACCAGCTACATGCGGAGCCCAGTCTGTGATGTGTTCAACCCTCAGCACAACGAGGTCAATCAAGACATGGATCAGCCTCTGTGTAACTATTTCATAGCCTCTTCCCACAACACCTACCTGACTGGAGATCAGCTGCTGTCCCATTCCAAGACGGACATGTATGCTTGGGTCCTGCAGGCCGGCTGCCGCTGTGTGGAGGGTAAGATAACACTTGTGGATATATGTCTAATATATATTTTCCAATGGTTGTAAATAAATTATTTTTAGAGCCCTGATTGTGACTATGCTTTGTGCTACAGTGGACTGCTGGGATGGTCCAGACGGGGAGCCTATGGTCCAACACGGTTACACTCTGACCTCCAAGATCACCTTTAAATCTGTCATTGAGACCATCAACAAATACGCCTTTGTAAACAATGAGTGCGTACTTCCTTCTCTCTTCAGTTTTTCTTCTCTCTTTTATCATAGTCGTTTATGATCAGCCATTAGATGATGTCAAGAAATCAATCATCATTTTCTTTGTAGCTTTTCAAATCTATCCCTATACTGGGCACAGCAAAGTCATTTAATGCTCATTTAAAACAGCCATATGTTCACTTAAATTTTTTTTTTTTTTTAATTAAAGATGTAATTTTACGTTTAAAGAAAGTAACAGTACTCTGATATATTACATTGTTTAATTATACTCCCCAAAATAATATTACTATTAAGTTATTAGAGCTAAAAAATATCTATTTTTAAAGTTTAAAATCTTATTTTAGAAAAAAGGTAATCAAAATGTATTTTTTTAAATAATGATCTTTAATTTAAGTTGCTAAGTTAATTTAATTTAATAAAATTTTTTAAAGATGAAACGATTAAAAGATAAATGTTTCACTGAATATCATACAACCTGGTGAGATCATGTGACAATAAGTTAACATGATACCATTGAAACATTTATCATTGCATATTGCATACTGCCTTACATAATACTTAAAAAAATTGTAGTATATAGTACATAAAATACAGTAAGCTAGTATTCCATTAAACATTACTATACATCTTCATAATACAAAATTGCTTAAAATACTGCATATTTCAGTAATCATCTTCACAGGGGAATGTCATGGGTGTCTGTGTTAGACTTCTGTCTTTTTTGTATGTGTAATAGACTGTTATTCTTTAAAACAATTCAGATGGGCTTGCAGACCCTATGTTTGCTGTATCTTTTTCATCTTACTATTACCAGATAAGGCACCCAGTGAGGTGCATGACATAAAAATTATATTTAATTTGTTGTGGAAAATTGTTTTGTTTTTCACCATGAGGATAAGTACAGTAATAATTGAAGAGAACTTTCAGTACCAGTGCCTGGATGCTCATAGAAAGCTACCTGTCTGTTTCTTTAATGATGTTTTATCATTAAAAAGCCACCTGTTTCAGCTAATGGCTCAACATAATGGAGCAAATGAGCCTTTTAGCACATGCACATCACATGCAAATTACACTCACCAAATCCCACGACACCTGCTGAGACAGCATTGCTATCACTGTAGCCCTACAGGGCATCTTTTTATCAATCCATTTTCCTCTTTCAGATTATCTTGTTTTTTCATGGTGTGTGTGTGTGTACGTGTATGTGTGCATTTGTGTGAGAGAGGAATGTCATTCATAATGTAGGAAACCCAGAGGGTTTCCCTGATTCCTAGGTATCTGGCATTCAGGTATAGCCTGTCTGAGTCTAATTATGTCATTTTCATTGAGCACAGCATCATCTAGACTGACATTTCTGTGTACACCCTTTTGTTATGTAGCGCATGCAGCCATCAAATTCAAAATCAATGCACAATCTTTTTCTTCATGAGTGTTTCTGTCTCAGAAACCCTTTCAGTAAAATATAAGTCCTTAAAATAGGGTAATTTTCCTGGAGAAGCAAATTTGTCAACTTCAAATTGAAGTATTAAATTAAAACCTTACTAATGTTAAAGGGATACTCCACCCCAAAATGAAAATTTTGTCATTAATCACTTACCCCCATGTCTTTCCAAAACCGTAAAAGCTTTGTTCGTCTTCGGAACACAATTTAAGATATTTTGGATGAAAACTGGGAGGCTTGTGACTGTCACATTGACTGCCAAGTAAATTACACTGTCAAGGTCCAGAAAAGTATGAAAGACATCGTCAGAATAGTCCATCTGCCATCAGTGGTTCAATCTGAATTTTATGAAGGGACGAGAATACTTTTTGTATGCGAATAAAACAAAAAAAACGACTTTTTTGTAATTATTCTTAAAACAATAGAAAAACAATGTGCAGTGGGGCAAGGATATTTATTCTCTGAAAAACACAATATCTTATGCAGATATAATATCTTAATAACTTTTCAACTAAATTTATCTTGATTCAAGGATGTTTCGATAGTTTTATTGGTAAACAGAGCACAAACACTGATTAAGAGAAAGATTTTTGCATTGTAAAATGTGTGGAGGTTTTGCATGCTTTTGGAAACACCTTGTTAGAGCAATTGTTAGACTATTTAATGTCAAAATCTCAGACTATGAGTGAGAATAGAAACCAAAGTCAAGTGTGATTTGTTTGAGTGTGCAGATGAAGTAAACAGAACAGCAAGACCGCAAGTGGCAAGAGAAAGAAGGTAAAAAGAGAGACGCAGTCAAACAAAAGACAGACAGGCAGGAAAAAGAGAAGAGTGAGATGGCAAAATAGAAAGAGCACATGACAGTGAAGATGAGTCAAGATGAAAGAAATACGGATAAAAGTTTAATGTCGGGGGAAGGCTCTGGTGGCAAGGAGCAGCTGCTGACTGTTCTGGCTGTTCCCTGGTTTGTGATTATTGTCACCCTCATCCTTTCTCCCTTCTGTCTCCTGCTGCGTCAGGTTCCCCGTGATCCTGTCCATAGAGAATCACTGCAGCATTCAGCAGCAGAAGAAGATAGCTCAGCATCTGAAAAACATCTTCGGAGACAAGCTGGATGTGGGGGAGGCTCTGAACAAAGACCCAAAGCAGCTCCCCAGTCCGAACTCCCTGAAGGGCAAGATACTCATAAAGGTTTGGCATGAACTGAAGACACCCTCATCTCCATTTCTGTCTTTACCAAAACCTGAAATCCTCAATTATTCTTTTCCTTTTCCTGCTTTTGTCCACTGTTCTCTCTTTTCTTTCTATCTTTTGCTAAAATCAACTTAAATTTCCACACTGGTATGGACTAGTTCCCTTTCAGTCGGTCACTCTCGACGTCACGTCAGATGACCGACGAATTGGGATCTCGCTTAGAGGGACCAATCTACTTCGAGTGTAAACTAAACGAGCCAATGCACATTGGCATGCGATTATTGCATCCAGCTGCTGCTGATCACAGCGTGAGTATAAGTAGGCAGCAGATGCAGCGCATATTCAGCTTTTCACTTCAGTCAGGGAACGAGGGTTACATACGTAACCGAGACGTTAGTTCTGGTTTGGTGCTGGTCTAACTGGTGAACCAGCATAGTCTTGACTGTTCAGCAGAGCCGGCCTTAACATTCTGGGGGCCCTAAGCAGATTTTCAAAAGGGTCCCCCACCACCTACGGTTTCATTTAACCACCACCTCCCATCCTCCAACGCACAAATCCTACACTGACACCTTATAGTAAAGTTTTAGAAAATTGAACAGGCTCTGCTGTTCACCAACATATTTACAGTATGCAGGACTTTCAGATTTCAGACAAGTAAAATAGACGATTTACATAATTATTTTGAAATGTTTAAATCACTTTTAAAACAAAAATATAGCAGTAGATCAAATGTATTAATAAAATGCCATTAGGAATATGAGAAACTGGAAATAGACCACAATTTTAAAAACTGGTGTGCCCCATCTACTGTACAGAGATTTAGTTATACTGTTGGACTGACTTGTTGGACGTTTTGCAAATCCACATTTTTATGGTTGTTAAGCCCTTAAATGGTTGGCACTGAAAGACCAGCCAATGATGAAATTCTCATTCTGGCGGAAAAAATGGAGATGAACAAGGACAGTTAGAATGTGTGAAGGGAGAATGAGTATTAGTTAGAAAGGGATGGGCTAGAGGATTGAAAGTTGAGCTGTAATACAGAGTTGAAGGAGTGGGGTTAGCAGTCATAGTCTGGGAAAGACACTCACACACACTCCTATATGTGTTTTATGGGGACTCCCCATATGTGTAATTATTTCATGCTGAGCTAATCATATTTCCTGTCCTCTAACCGTTATGCTTATTAGGTTCAGCTGGCTCACAAAGCTCGATATAAACGTTCTCAGTCAAGTCAGAGTTTGATCCGGAGTTTGTGATTAATTCCGGAGTGCGTGCACCTGAAAGTGTGCCACATGCTGCAAACAGCCAATCACACGGAACATGTGGAGAGCGTCAGCAAAGCATCAGTTTGAATCAATTCTCGCGAGAGTCGGCACAATTCACTTTTTTGCTGAAGACTAAGAGATGTTGTAATTAAAAATGTAATGAATTTAAATGCATTTATAAGGCAGGAATAAACACTGCTGCTGCAGCAAAAGTTTGAGAAGGCAGCAGAAAGAAAATATATGACTATGCAAATGAATCAACTGAATTTAATTATTTATATAGTTTCACACAGGGCTCAAAAAAAGGAAAACATAAATGTAGTCATTTTAAAAGTTGGATATATCACTTTGCTCACAGCTGATTGGTCCAGTTTGGGTTTGCGATCTCTAACTCAGAATAAAACCTGCTCCGGAGCAGGGTAGCCATGTAGTGTAAGCTACCATGGTGATGAAACCCACTCAAAACCAACCCACCTTCTTGAGCCCGAAAACTCAAACTAAACGTGAACTTGCCTGGGTAAAAACTGAAACCGGCTTCGTGATACAGGCCAAGGAAGTGTTTACACTGTAATGTCATAATGTCATTATACATATTTGTGTTCTCATAAACTATGTATCCAAGCACACACACAGATACACACATATTTACAATGATACAACTCTTGCATTGATACCTTCTATGCAACCAGCACCTCACTCTTCCAAAAAAAAAGAAAAAAGAAAAAAGGATGTAAACAGTACCACAATGGGGTTCTTCAGTTTGTTACAATAGCATAAATGTGTTTTGTGTTTGAGTGTGTATGTGTGTGTGTGTTTTAAAGCCCTTTTTGTAATGTTCCATAAGGAATCATGCTTTATTTAAAAGAGCTCTATAGAACCTTAATGGTGTTATGAACAATAATTTTATTAATAGTTTATTTTCATTAATATTAGTATTTTAAATATTGAAAAAACAGCTAGTCACTGTCTTAATGAATGAGTCGTTCAGTCATTCATTCAACCGATTCTTTCAAATGGCTGATTCATTCAGAAATGAAGTAAGTGACAGTAAAGACAGGTTACTGAATCATTGGCTGACATAAATTCATTCAAAAATATGGATTCATTCAGTAAAGAAACATTGTTGTGTGTTGCTAAGAGATACACAACAGTTCTGCTGTGGCTTTGTTTGGAACTGTGTTCATTATATTTATTTATTATACTGTCAATTATACATTATTGACTATACTGACAATATTGTGTCTAAAACACAATGTTAACTTCTTGTTTATTGAGCTATTGGTTAAAATCAATATCACATTTGCAGATATTTTTTGTCAAAAAAAAAAAAAAAGCATGTTTGCTTGTGATATTGTGATTTTGCTAAACTGTATCGCATGACATAAATACAAGACAAAAACCCATAGAGGGGCATTTCTTGTCCTTGTATCTTGAATTTTAGAGGCACATAACTGCATTCTAAAAAGCTACATCACACAGGCAGTAGCTGTCCTGCATCATGTTCTTCAGCGGGGTGCGTTACATGAGTTAATAATTTCAAAGGGGACGTCGGACATTTATCTGCAAAGTTCACTTTTTGCAGATAAATGTATCAGTGTGTGGACACAACCACCCTACAATGATAAAAATCCATTCACTCCTTTTTTAATCACTAAAAAAACCTTAAAAACATCAATTATCAAGCCGTTTTGACAGCTGACAGACTGTCCCGTATTAGCATATTTCAGCCCTCAGCCAGTTGTACTCTGTCCGCCATTTTCTCCGCGCTTTGAGCAGCTGTAGCGACAACAATGTATTGTAAGCAATGCAGGTGTTTTGTAGTTGGATGTAAAAGTGAACATAGGAGTCTTCATTTTCTCCCAACATGAGAGCCACTGAGGACGCAGTGGATTAGTTTTGTTTTTGATGGTAACTCGCCACCAAATGCACAAAAAAACAGAAGAGAGGGGAGGGGCGGGGAGAGCAGAGCTCATTAGCACTTTTTTTTCCCCCTTGCATGTCATGTGTGGGGCTCCTTAGTTTTACACAACCAGTACCGCCGCTCCCTATACGCAGGGTACGCAGTTTGCGTAGGGCACCAACTC